AAAAAAAAAAAAAAAGAATATATAACCACCTTAATTCCACTGCTGAATTAAGATCCTTGTTGAACATTTCTCTGTGCATATTGTTTTTAATGCGACTACATTTGGTCTAATACCTTGTAGCCTCCATTGTGAACATCTTTTCATGTCAACAAATACCAACATAAATGAGATTCACACTTCTTTTACTGTAGGAATCCTTTGTTCAAAAGACCATTTTTACTGGGTGTGATGTTGTTCACCTGTAATTGCAGCTGCTCATGAGCGCTGCGGCAGGAAAATCATGAGTTTAAGACCAGTCTCAGCAACTTAGTGAGACCCTGTTTTCAAATACACACACACACACCTATCTTCCAGGAGACCAATATGTAATCATTCCATAATCAACAATTGCTTATTGAGCTCTGCCAGGTGTCAGGCATCCCTACCTAACTGCCCATTTTCTTTAAAGGCTGCAGGTACCATAGCTACAGAAGAAATACCTCCCCTACTGAAACACAGTGACTTAAGGAACATACATCTGTTTGTGTTCATCTATGTATGTGAGGAGATGATAAAGCTCATCTGTATGCACTTTTGCTGTCTCCTTAAAAGAAATCCCACTGGGCATGGTGGTGCATGGCTATAATCCCAGAATTATAGCTGAGGCAGAAGGATCACAAGTTCAAGGTCAGCCTGGGCAACTTAGACTCTACCTCAAAATAAAAAAGAGGTATGGGTGTATCTTAGTAGTAGTGTACTTGCCTAGCATGCATGAGGGGCTGGGTTCAATCCCCAGTAATGTGGGGGGGGGGCGAAGAGTTGAAGAAGTGAAATACTGAGTTCAGAGGCCAACTGTGATGGGCTTGGCCTGTCCAAAGTGCTGGGAAACTAGAAGAGGTGAATAAATGACTTGGTCCCTGTCCTTCAGTAGCTCAGTCAGTTTAAGGAGGGTAAGATTCAGGGAAAGGAGATTTCAGTGTGCAAGCTATACTTTCCAGCAGTCCCTCCTTAGGAATCTATTCTATAAATAGAATACTGGCAGCTACAGACTTCCTTGCTATGTATCACTATAAAAGCTTATAACCAGCCAGGTGTGGTGGGTGACACACACCTTGTAATTCCAGTACTCTGGGGGTCTGAGGCAGGAGGATCAAAAGTTTGAGTCCAGCCTGGGTAATTTAGCAAAACCTTATCTCAAAAAAAAAAAAAAAAAAAAAAGAACAAGAACAGGACAGGGGATGTAGCCCAGTGCAAAAGTCCTTGGTTCAGTCCCCAGTACAATCAATCAATCCATCAATCTAATAACCTACATGTTTAGCATTAGGGACTTGTAACAGAGACCATTATAATCCTAATATAGATTTATCTCAAAGAAAACATTTGGGAACAATGTTTATATATTGTTTGTATACTTTTATTTTTTTCTGTGTGTATACTTTTAAAAAATAGGCATATTTTTGCTTGTAAACATATAGACCTGCACTGTCGATTATTTTAGCCAGTAACCCTGTGTGACTCTGGAGCAGTTAAAATGTGCCAAGTGGAAACTGAGGTGTGCTTTGAGTGTAAAACACACATTAAATTTGAAGACTTGGTATCAAATAGAAGTATGTTGACAACATGTTCAATAATACTTTTAATGTACTATCTTAAGTATTAAAAATAATCTCATCTTTTCCTTTTTGTGTTGGTGGATACTGGTGATTAAGCTGAGGGGCTCATGAATGCTAAAAGCAGGAGCCTTACTACTGACCTACATCTCCAGCACTTTTTTTTTTTTTTGGTACTAGGGATCGAACTCAGGACCTTGTACTTGCAAGGCAAGTGGCAGAACCACTGAGCTAAATCCCCGGCCCAACTTTTTAAAATTGAGCTACTAGGAAATTTAAATTTTCACATGTGGCTCACATTTGTGCCTGCCATTATGTTTCTATTGGCATCTCAGGGGAATGTCCAATACATTTATAATAGTGGCTGCCTCTGGGGAGAAGTCATGAAGATTTGCATGGGATCAAGGACTGACTTTTCACTACCTTTTTGTACCATCTAAATTTTCTCCTTTATCTGAGTGATGGTGTGTAACAACTTTAAAAAACCATTTAAACTGGGCATGGTGGTGTAATTCCAGAATGCGTGGAATCCCAGCACTCTGGGAGGCTGAGGCAGGAGGATTGAAAGTTTGAACCTAGCCTGGGCAACTAAGCAATTTATTTGAGACCCTGTCTTGGATGGATGGATGGGGATGTAGCTCAGTGTGAGGCCCTTGGTTCAATCTCCAGTACTGCAAAAACAAACCAAAAACAAAAACAAAAATAAACCAAAAAAGAACACAAGCCATGACCAGAAGATGCCAGGAAAAAGTTCCACAAAGCTGAAAAGTCCCATAAAGGTGATACTGTGTAGGAGCAGGCTTGGAAAAGCAGAAGAGATTTTGGAAACAAGAGGCAGTATTTTCCCTCTTTCTGCCCAGACCCCAGGGTCACACCAGACACCCTTGAATGAGCCTAAAGCTTCATGAGCTCAGTCCCAGGGTATTTGCTTCTGGAGGAAGATGGAGACCTCTGCACCCCACAAGTGTGGTGAACAGGGTCTGGCTGGGTGGGAGGAATTGGTCCTCTTACTATGATGGTTCCAAATAATTCTTCTAACTTATTTTTTAGTTTTAATTGAGCACATACTCTGTGATCTAATTGGCAAAAGGAGATTTAGGAAGGCATAAAGTTGAGGTGTGGCGAGATCTGGAAGAACTCCTCTGTGCCCCCCTCCCAGGACACCCTGGGCTGTGGGATTTCAAGGGGTTTTCCAAATCAACACAGCACACACTCTGGAGATGTGTGTGTTGGGTAGGGGTGGCGCTCGGGGGCTGGGGGGGGGGGCAACTGTGTTGGCTTTGGAAATGCCATCCTCCAGGCAATTTATTTCTGGAGGAGGCCTCACAGGGGGCCCATTTCCCTCACCCTCCTGTGGGCAGGGGCTGGAGGTCCCAAGCTTAACCCCTGCCCCACGGAAGATAAACAAGAAATGCCCTCCTTGCAGTACATAGCCTGGCACAGCACAGGAACTGGGGAAAATGCCCAGAAAAGGCAAGATTGCAGTTCCACCTTGGTCACCTCTCAGGGGTCTTCTCTTACTCTTCCTCCTCAGGACACCTGGCCCACCCACTGCTCCTCCCTACCGGACCCTTCCTTTGCCACCCCTACCCAGTGCACCGAATGGTTGGGACCTTCCCCACCTCGCCAGTGGCCACATCTTCCCTGGTTAGCAGAAGCTCCTCTAGCTTTTGGGTGCAGATTTCTCAGCTCCCTCCAGGAAAATAGGCTTGGCTGGAAAGTGATTGGATAATTAGAAAACGTAGCTCACTGTAAACTAATGACAAATTCAGCCACCCTCAACATCAAAGAAACCCCCAATTACGCTGCCATTGACACCAAATTAGCCAAACCATCAGTGGGTATGAGATCCTTCCCTAATTGGATTCTCTGGTTCCCTAACTGTCCGCAGCAGAATCCATAACTAAGGCCAGAGAAGCTTGGGCCCATTGGGGTCAAGTCTAGCCTGCCCCCGCCGGAAGCGCCCATTCATTCTGCCCGTTGGCGGCTCTGAGCACTGCTGGTGGCGTGAGCGGCGAGGGCGCATATCTTGGCTCCACCGCTTGCACAAACGTGTGACCCTGAACTAGTTAAAGAACTCCAAGCCTCTACGTGCCTGGCTGTAAAACGCGCCGGGAACGTAGAGCGCGCAGCACAGCTGTACTAGGACAACTTCCCGGAGCCAGGTGAAGCATCTCGCTGTCTCTACGGGTGGTCACGCGCGATGTTAACCGCCTGGGTCCTTCTGAGACCATGTTGCAGGTGGCTGCTTCCTCGGAGCGTGTGCAGCCCCAAACCGGGTCCCAAGTGGAGGCATTGTCCAAACCAGGATCCTCGGGTCGGGAGCTGAGGAAGGGAAGTAGTGCGCGGGGGCGGGGGACAAACCCCAATTCTCGGCCGCACCCGAGCCTGGCTGCTGGGCAAACCGGGTTTGTCCAGCCCCACGCTCTACCCCGCGGGCCCCGCCCTCGGGCCCGCCCTCGGCTACCCCGCGCCCCCATTGGTGGCGTCTGGCGGCGCGGCCGCTGTTATTTTTCGAATATATAAGGAGGTGGAGGTGGCAGCTGCAACCAGAGTCTTCCCGGACTGCAGCTTGCGCCCCGCGCTTATCCACCTCCACCTCCACCTCCACCTCCACCTCTACCTCTACCTCTACCTCTACCTCTCCCCACTCTCCCCGCATCCCTCCTCTCCTCCCTCATCTCCCTTGCTCCTGACCCCGTAGCTTTCCCTCCTTCCCCCTTCCTTCCACCCCAGGCCCGCTCCTTCCCTGGTCCTGGCCAGCTGTGGCCGGGGTCTGCAGCCCCCTCCGCGATGGAGGGGCCCCCGCCCCAGCCCGAGCCTGCGCCCGGCTCGGCTCTCAGCCCGGCCGTCGTGCGCACTGGCGCCCAGCGCCTGGGCCACCACCCCGGCCTCCAGCTGGGTTCTCAGGGCCTCCTGGGGTCCCCGGAGCGCGCGGCCTCTTCCTCTCCAGTCACCACCCTCACCCAGACCATGCACAAGCTCGCTGGGCTCGGCAGGTAGGAGCCCCCCCACCACCACCACCAAGGAGTCTGGGTGTGGGATGAGACGCCCGGGCCGGGGTCCCAGGGAGCTGGACCTGGGAGCCACCAAGTCCAGCAGGTGGGGTGAGGAGGCGTCGGGGCAGAGCAAAGGGGCGCCCTTGCCCCAGTTTCAAGAGCCGGGACAAGGGCTCTAAGACCGGGACTGTTCGGCTCACACCCTCCAGGTGGTCTGCTCAGGGACCCTCTTTCCCTTCCCTCCTCCCTCCACCGTGCTCCCTCTCTAATCTCTGTCTGCCCCCAGCTGCCACCATTTTGCCCCGGGCCTGAGATCCGGAGGCTGGAGCAGGAATTTGAAAGTGGCCTTTAGAAGTTCATGCTCCTCCCTGCTCCGAAACCCAATTCTGCCCTGAGGGTTAGTGTGATTAAAGGCCAGCCGGGCTCCCCAGGAGAGCCTGGGAGTGTTGTCCCAGCAGTAGAGACCCAAATCTTGAACTGTCCTCCAGGAAGGGGTGGATGGCTCTCCAGGACTGCTTTGCTGCCCCTGACCCCAATCCCTAGGGTTCCCCCCACCACCACCACCGCGCCCCTCTGCTCTTGCCCTGGGCTCCTTTCTCCCTGCACCTCGGAGGATCTTTCCTAATCTAATTAACACAAGACATTTTAGGGCCTCACTAGAATGAGTCACTTTGGCCTAACAGTGCAGGCTGGTGACTGATCACTTCCCTGGCATGGTGTCAGAGGAGTCCTTCCTCATGGGGAGCTGCCTCCTTGGGCACTGAGGAGGCTGGTGCATGGGAACATGGGTTGGCCAGCCCCAGAGCCCTGAATTTACCTTTCTTTCTCTTGGGTCCCTTCTCCCTTTCCAGTGATTCCCCAACGTGTCAGGTAGGGACCCTGCCCCTCCGAAGTCAGCTAACTCGCCTATCCCTGTCTCGGCGGGCATCAGAATCCTCCTTGTCGTCTGAGTCCTCAGAATCTTCTGATGCAGGTAAGTCCCCGAGTCCCTGGGGAGATTCCCCCAGTGCTGGGGCATCTGAGGGAACTGCCTGGCCCTCTGGACTTGCCTGCCCATCAGATTAAGATCTTTCCCACAACTTGGTGGGCCTGGGGAGCCTTCCCTGTCCTGCCCACAGTGGGAGGAAGACAGCCTCTATGGGTACTAACCACACCCAGCTGAGCCCTGGAGGGTGGGGCCCCGAGTGATACCTTACCTATTAAACCTGGTGCCTATTAAACTTGTCACAGAGGGGCTGAAAGTTGGTCCTTTTACAACAGTCTTGGTCGGTAACTTTTTTCCTTAAAAAGCCATTGTCTTTAAAATTATTTTAAACCAGTTTAAGAAAGATGCTTAGCCTGCCCAGGGTGGTGCTGCAAACCTGTAATCCCAGCACTCAGGAGACTGAGACAGGAGGATTGCTGGGAGTCGGAGGCCAACCTGGGGTACATAGTGAGTTCAAGGCCTGCCTAAACTACATAGGAAGACCCTGTCTCAAAAAAAAAAAAAAAGCTTAGAAAACATTGTGGCATTTGTTTTGTTTTGTTTTTGTTATTTTTATGGCACTGGGAAATGAACCCAGGGCCTTGGTACTGAGCTACATCCAGCTTTTTAAATTAGTTAATTGGGCTGGGGATTTAGCTCAGTGGTTTTGCCGCCTGCTGCACAAGTGCAAGGACCTGAGTTCGATCCCCAGTACCAAAAAAAAAAAAATTTAATTAATTAATAGGGTCTTGCTGATTTGCCCAGGCTGGGCTCAAACTTGCAATCCTCCTGCCTCTGGCTTCCACAATGCTGGGATTACAGGCATGCATCATCACACCTCGCTGCATTGTAGTTTTCACAAACTGGAGTTTTTATAGTAAACAGGGAGTGGAACCTTGTGCCCTTTGAGGGACAATGTATTCTCAGGGTCTCTGAGTAGGTTTTTTTTTTTTTTGGTATTGGGGATCGAACTCGGGACCTTGTGCTTTCCAGGCAGGTGGCAGAACCACTGAGCTAAATCCCTGGCCCCTCTGAGTAGGGTTTTTTTTTTTTTTCTGAGTAGGTTTTTATTTTATTTTATTTTATTTACTTATTTTTTTTTTTTTGGTACCGGGGATCGAACTCAGGTCCTTGTGCTTACGCAGCAGGCGGTGAAACCACTGAGCTACTGAGTAGGTTTTTAAAAAAATTTTTAGGGTGTCCAGATTTAAAATAGACAGGGTTTCCCCTCCTTTCTTGGGACATATACAGAAAATGCTTTTACTTTCAAACCAAGGCATTCTGTCCCTGCAGGTCTCTGCATGGATTCTCCCAGTCCTATGGACCCCCAGATGGCAGAGCAGATGTGAGTAAAAAAAAAAAGGGGGAGTCCCTACCACCAGGGGGTCAGCATCTTAGATCTAGATATCTTTCAGAATCTTAGGTCTTAGCACAGACTCACTGGAGAGGTCTGGGAAAATAGGTTCCTCAGGATCTCCTATTGAATGTATATATAAAATTTCCAATTTTTTTTTTTTTGGTACTGGGGATCGAACTCGGGACCCTGTGCCTGCAAGGCAGGTGGTGGAACCACTGAGCCAAACCCCCAGCCCTTAAATATCCAATTTAAAAGCATGGTCCAACCAATCTGGGTGTGATGGCATATGTATGTAATCCCAGCACTCAGGGAGACTGAGGCAGGAGAATTGCAAGTTCAAGCCCAGCCTGATCAACCTAGTGACTTAGCAAGACCATGTCTCAAAATAAAAAATAAAAAGGACTGAAGGCTGGGTTCAATGCCCAGTACTAGAAAAAAAAAGTCCAACTAATTCATAATATCAACTCACTCTAAGCTAAATAAAATCAGTTGTCTGTGGACTGATTTGGCCCCTGGCCTAACAGCAACCTCAGTCTTCAGTGACACTTGACTCTGGCCAACTCCTGGACCTGAGGGAATGGAGAGAGAGCTGGGGGGCTCTGCTGTGAGCAGACATCTCGCCTCGCCTGGAAGGCAGGGGTAGTGCCTTCCAGAGCACAGCTGTTCCCATCCAGCTGTTAAGGCCCAAGCAGGCACAGCAGCTGCCAGCCATTAGTGGGGACAGCTGGGCATCCCAGCCTGGGCTGAGGGACTGTTCAGTGCAGTGACTGTGTTTCTTCTCATTGTCTTTGATCAAACTGGGCTGGGTGCAGGGTTTGTCACAAACAGGAAACAGAATTGGGTGGAGGTGGGAGGAGATGGCAGGTTGTTTTTTGGTGGCTGTTCTTGCTTTACCCTCGAGGCCCAGGTGCAGATTGGAAACCAAAATAATTGGTCATGCCTGATGCCAGTTTGGCTGGGAGTGGGGAGGGACACCCCTTGACATTTTAGCCCTGAGTGCCCCTCATCTCTGCACCTGCTTTGACGGTTGTCCAGTCTCAGAAAGAAGCTGGTGTGTGTGTGTAGATATACAAAAAGCCCCTCATGGCAGGTGGTCTCTGGTGACATAGCTGGGGGTGGGGGGTGGGGCCTATATCCAGAAGCTTATGCCCAGCCTCAAAAGAAACATCTGTTGGAATTCCTTGCTGCTGGCCTCTTCTAGGGGCCGGGGAAAGGGGGAGAAGGTAGGCAGAGGCTGGGACCTGGAAAATTCCACAGGAGGGAGGAGAGGGTGTGACCCTGCACATTTGTCACTGGGGGTGGTCTGCTATGTCAGACTGGGGCTGATCCAGGGGCCACTAGAGAGGGCCCCTGTCCTGGAGGAAGCCAGGCCAGCTCCTCACAAAGGGAGGGAAGCCCAGGCTTCTGGTATCCACTCCTGGAGATGCCTAAATTGCTGGGTACCTGTGGCCATCATCCCTGGATAGATGGATGCCTTTCCTGGTGGCCATATGGCCCTTGCTGTGCTGGGATGATTTGCATACAGGTGGAAGGCCTGTGTGCAGGCTGGTGAGACTGTTGCCTTGGTGACGCCTCAGTGACCCTGTGACCTGGCCCAGCTGTCTTCACTGACTTCTGTGGGCCCCCTTCTATTCAGCCCTGCCTTTAAACTCCCAGGCAGCCTCTCATTGTGCCCCCCACCCCATACCTGGGCCCCACTGACAGTGGGACTTCCTCCTGCCTCCCCCCTTCCCATCCTGGGCTCCAGTCCTGTCCTCATCCCCATCCCTGGGCCTTAAGGGCTGCAGGGGAAGATGGGTCCCATCTGCTCTCTCCTAGGTTTGAACAGGCCATCCAGGCAGCCAGCCGGGTCATTCGAAAGTAAGTGCTTCATGCCCCTTCTGCCCATCAGAGGCTGGCCCCCAGGGGCTCAAAGAGCTCTAGTGCAGGGACATCCTGTCTGCTCTTGGTCCCTAGCCCCTACTTTAGCCCTGACTTGGCCCTGCTTCCTTTTGCAGTGATCATTTTGCCATCAGACGCTTCCAGTCCTTGCCAGTGAGTGTTCCCTCTGGCCTACTCTGAAGGCTTAGGCATGCTATCTGGGCGGTGGCAAGAGGCATCCCCGGATCCCTCTCAGAGTGTGGGCTTGATGAAGTTGGATATCCTTTGGCTGGGTTGGGGAGATAGGATTTCCTAGGTGGCTGGGGGAGCTGGAGGGAGGGGTGGGTGAAAAGCAGTGCCTAGCCTGCCAGCAGAAGATCACAGCCTGCAATACTGCCCTGTCCTCCCCCAGGTGAAGCTGCTGGGCCACAGCCCTGTGCTCCGGAACATCACCAACTCCCAAGTACTAGACTGCTGGAGCAAGAGCGAGTCGGGTGGCAGAGCTGCCATCAGTCCTGAAGAGGATAAGGAGAATGTGCGCTTCAGTGGCCTGCAAGGGAGAGCTCAGGAGAGAAGGGTGCAGGCTGGGGTGGTTCTTTGGCATCCAGTGACACTTCCTCTGGCATCTTGCCCACAGGAGGGATTTGTTTTCAAGATGCCATGGAAGCCTACACATCCCAGCCCTGCTCATACCCTGGTGGGGTGGGCCAGCCGCAGAGAGGCCTTTACCCAGAGGCCAAACTCGGCCCCCAACCTGATGGTAAAGAGGGACACTGACCCTGTGCAGGGCCCTTGGGATGCAGCCTTGGGAAGCAAGGGTGGTCTGGAGCCCCCAGGTGTTGGGGACCTGTCCCAAGAGAATGGGGTGTGGATTACGCCTATCTCACTCTCAACAGTGTCTCACTCCTGAGCGGAAGATGGAAGTGGAGGAGCTGAGCCCCATGGCTCAGTCTCACTGCCTCTCCCTGACTCCTGCTGAGGGAGCTGCTGAGGAAGATGATGGATTTGTGGACATCCTGGAGAGTGATTTAAAGGTAAACAGGCTTAGGCCCCCAGAACCCCCACCTCCACCTCCTAGGAAACACCCAAAATTGGAGAGCTCTGAGCCCCTTCAGGAAGACTGTGACCTCACCCCAGTGTCAGGAGAAAAATTTGAGGTAACTGAGTCCTGGCCTGATCTCTGGCCAACCAGAAAAAAGGAAGTGACTGGTGCCACAGTGGAAGGGAGGTTGGGCGGGGTGAAGGCTTTCTCATGGCTCAGTGCAAGCCCCAGCTGTGAGTGGATCCCTGAAGCACTGAGGGTCTGAGGGAGTGGGCTGCCCTGGGCTGCGGGCCTGGTGTTTACTAGAAGAACCATGAAGGCTGTCAAGGCTGTGCTGGAGGATGCAGGGCTCTGAGGGGTTTGGCCTGAGCCTGTGATTGTGACCCTCTCCTTGCTGATTTGCCCTCAGGAGGATGATGCAGTCCCTGCAGGAATGGAGAGCCTCATTAGTGCCCCACTGGTCAAGACCTTGGATAAGGAAGAGGAGCAGGTGGGGCTCTGACCTGGCCCCCCCAAAAAAACTTGGGGGTGGAGGTAGGGCTCTGCCCTCCAGGTGGGATTTCAGGTTGGGGGACTGAGTACTCTGACCCCTGACCTGCCACCCCTCCCAGGACCTCGTCATGTTCAGCAAGTGCCAGCGGCTCTTCCGTTCTCCATCCATGCCCTGCAGTGTGATCCGGCCCATTCTCAAGAGACTCGAGCGGCCCCAGGACAGGGATATGCCTGTACAGAGCAAGCGGAGGAGGAGCGTGACCCTTCTGGAGGAGCAGCAGCAGCCTGAGGAACCTGTGAGTGCCTTCATCCAGGGGCCTCATCCATCTGCCCACCTTGGAGAGACTCTTGGCTGCCACCCTGTCAGCTGGGTTTGTGGCAGATGGCCAAGTCCTGGTGGTATCCTGGGCAAAGCAGGAAAGGGAGGTCCCATCCAGTTAGGACACTGAGGGACTTCCTTACCCCTGACCCTGGCCTCCATCCACCTTACCTCCCAGAAAGCACGAGTTCTCCGCTCAAAGTCCTTGTGTCATGATGAGATTGAGAGCATCCTGGACAGTGACCACCGAGGACTCATTGGAGATTACTCTAAGGTACCCCACAGAACCAACCTGCCCTAAGCTGCTACCAAGTGTGACCTCTCCCAAGAGCGGCTTCCACTCCTCTCTCCCCAGAGGCCCCCTTTCTTTGTTCTGGATATCTTTTCAACCTTTGTTCCCAGGCAGACTCCTTCCTCTGGCTCTCCTTGGTCTCCTGACTACCTCAGCTCTGCTCAGACATCCATAGTGCCTCAGCCTGGGAAAACATCTTCAGACTAATGTTCAGCATGCAATCTCTTCCTGCCTCATCCCAGGCTTGGCAGAGCCTGGGGGGCACAGAGCGGGGAGGTGTCTTCTACTCCTTTCTTCATTTACCTCTGGGAAGTTGTTCCCTGGGTATCAGCCCCAGGAGGTGCCTCTTGGTTGCTTTGGGAACCAGAGTTGACTTTGAAGGCCAAAGAAAGTGTGGCCTCTGGGCTTGGGAAGGAAGCCTTGTTCTTTCCAGGTTCCTTGTCTTAGCAAGCGCACTTTGTCCTCTGACTCTATCTCCCATCCCTTTTCTTCAGGCCTTCCTCCTACAGACAGTGGATGGCAGACACCAAGACCTCAAATACATCTCTCCAGAAACCGTAAGTAGGGCTGAGCTAGGCTCCAGAGGCATGAGACACCACTGTTTGGCTGCTGACCTCCCCTATGGGTGGACTGCATGTACAGACTAGCCAAAGGATAAAAGTCAGCCCCTGGCTGCCAGCCCAGCCTGCTGCACAACCCCCATTCCCCTCTCTAGGTGGTGGCCCTGTTGATGGGCAAGTTCAGCAATATTGTGGAGAAGTTTGTGATTGTGGATTGCAGATACCCCTATGAGTATGAAGGCGGGCACATCAAGGTGAGCTAAACTGGAAGGAAGCAGGTGTACCTACCTTCTCATGTAGGGGAACCTGCCTAGCAAGAGGGGGGGCACTGCAAGGGGGAGAAGTCTGCCTCTCAGGTGCAGGGCTCTAGCCTGACCCCCTGCCCTTCTGACAGACTGCGGTGAACTTGCCCCTTGAACGAGATGCTGAGACCTTCCTGCTGCAGAGCCCAATCACACCCTGTAGCCTGGATAAGAGGATCATCCTCATTTTCCACTGTGAATTCTCCTCAGAGCGTGGGCCCCGCATGTGAGTCCCAGCTCCATCTGCCCAACCAACTGATGCCTGCCCTTGGTTCCTTGCCCAGGCTTGTGGGCTGAAACCATTGTGTTGGCAGCCCTGGCCTCTTGTATCCTCTGATGGCTTAGAGCTGACCTGGCCCCTCACTATGCATGGCACCCACTCCTCAAATCCCTGTCGTTGTCCTTCCCATCAGGTCTCCTGTCTACCTTCTACCCACTGCACCACTCTTACAAAATCTGGTTCCAAGTCTCCAACAGGGTCCTCTCAAAGCCCAAGCATCCTTGCCTGGCCTCTTATGCTCAAGCTCTAGAGTTCATGCTGTTAGTTCTCTGCTGGGATCCTGTTCCCTTGATGTCTACAGTCCCCAGGCCCTCTGCTTTCTTCACTTAAGTCTTCTCTGTCTCCCTTCATGCTCTGCCCTGGCTGGCTGTTCTCTGCCTCCTGTCCCTGGGTTGCCACCAGGCCCATCAGAATGCCAGTTCTCTCTGGGCAGGTCTCACAGTGGGCTCGAGTCTTCACTCAGGTGCTCTGTACTGAGACTTCATCCCTGCTGCCCTGCCCTCCCCTCCCCTGCCTCATTCTAGGATTCCAGCATATAGCTTCCCACCGCAGTCAGGCACTGGGACCAGTCACTGGGCCTCTTGGGTCCTTTTTCCCTCCCTTCCTCTCCCCAACTCTGGTCCTTACCAAGCCTGGTCCAAGAGCCCTCTGGATGAATGTATCTCTCAAATTATGTCCACTTGTCACTTCTCCCATTTCCTTTCCTGGTCCAGGCCTCACATTTCTCTAGTAAAGATTGCACAACTGCCTCCTAGAAACAGAGACTGGCCCCTTGATCCACCTCCTTCCTGCCTTCACCCCAGCCTCTCCTACGAAGCAGCCAGATGATCTTCTTGTGGCTAACATTCCTGTGCTCAGCAGCCTTCTGTAGCTCCCCAAGGCCTCCCTAGCAGGGAGTGCCCAGCTGCACCATAGCTCTCACCCTTGTCCCTACTCCCTACCAGGTGCCGATTCATCAGGGAACGTGATCGTGCAGCCAATGACTACCCCAGGCTCTACTACCCCGAGATGTACGTCCTCAAGGGCGGCTACAAGGAGTTCTTCCCACAGCACCCGGTCAGTACCACGTGTGGGGGTGGCCAGTCTGTGTGGCAGTGGCCTTCAGGGAAGGACCGGGTCCCCCCTGAAAGTACCATTTCCTTCATATTAATAGACCCCTCCCATGCTGCCCTAGAACTTCTGTGAACCCCGGGACTACCGGCCCATGAATCACGAGGGCTTCAGGGAGGAGCTGAGGACCTTCCGCCTCAAGATGCGCAGCTGGGCTGGGGAGCGGAGCAGGCGTGAGCTCTGTAGCCGGCTGCAGGAACAGTGAGGCTCGAGTGCCAATCTTGCCACCTTCCTTGCCTCACAGGGCCTGGGTGCCAGTGTCCCAGGGACCTGCCAGAGGCCCCAGGTGCTAGCTGGGGGAAGATCACACAGGTGTCTTCGCTGTCTGCCCCTGGCCCTAATTCCCTTTGTTCCCCTCCGGTCATTTTTCACACCCTGGTGCCACCCTAGCCTGGTGGTTTGTGCCAGCCCAGAGCAAGTATTTGGTGTTCAGCAGAGCCTGTCAGCTTTTCTCTTCCTTATCTGGGTTGCTTCTTTGTCTTATGTCCAGCAAAGCTGTGTGTAGGTCTATGTGTCTATGTCTATATGCACGCGTGTGTGCATGTGCATGTGTGTGTGTTGAGGCTAGGGGAGCCACAGCCTCTGAGGATTTGCAGACAAGCTCTGTCATGGCCTGGGAGCCGGCTAGCCCCCTGCTCCTAGGCACTGACCAGGCCAGGGCTGCTCCTGCCTTCTGCAAGAACCACAGTGTCTGTCGTGTTGTCCCTTTCTCTTCTCTTTCCTGTCTTTCCTTACAAGCACCTCCAGTGTAAACATAAGCTCTTACTCTTTCCTGTTGCAATGTTACCTGCAAGCTTGATTTGTCTGATTTTACCTGTTTCGGGATATACACACTTGCTGTGGGGTTCCCCCATCCAGCTGGGGTTTGAGATGTGAACATCAGTTGCCCACCTGGCTTTGGCTTTTGGTGGCCCAGAAAGGGACGTCATAATCCTTGAGGGCATCCAGGGCAAAAGCTAAGGCCTGAATCAGAGCCCCCTGGAAGCCCAGCACTTACTGCTGTGAACCCTGGGGCCTGACTGGTCATAATTTACTGCTGTCTTGTCGAGGATGGATGGAAGGACAGATGGATGGATGGTCATGGATACATGGTGTTTTGCACATATGTGTGCGCACAAATTGGGTGGAAGCACTTTGGTGAACATGACAGCCTGTGGCAGGAGTGTACATGTGTCTGTGTGTGGACAGAAGTCTTTAAACTTGGAATTTGGAAATATTCAAGAGGAAATGTCATTCGACCAGTTAAACCAAGGGCCCAGCAACCTCTGGGTTCAGAATCTCAAGACGTGGGAAGGGCTGTGCTTGAAGGCCTAATGAGTCATCTGTTAGGGCCTTGGTTCAATAAAGCACTGATAAGCAAGTTAATCAACCAGCTTTGTGTCCTGTGGAGCCCCTGAAGAGAACACTGAAGACCCAGTGGTGGGATGAGGGTAAGCTTGGGTCAGCAGAGCTGGAAGACTTCCAGGAGAGGGAACTTGATGCTCTCTCTCTTCGCCTATTGCCCTGAAGTCTTCTAACTCTCTCTTGCTTTTTCGAGACAGGGTCCCGCTATGTAGTTCAGGTTGGCTTTGAAGTCACTATTGGAGCCCCAGCTGGCCTTGAACGTGTAGCTAATCTCCTACCTCAGCCTCCCTAGTGCTGGGATTACAGGTGTGTACCACCACACCCAGTTTGGTCTTCTGTCTCTGTCATGACACTCCTACCAGGACTTTGGATTCAGCCCCTTCTCCTCACCTGGCCACATGAGCACCTCTGAGCCCACTCTAAAACCTGCCCCACAGGCAACAAAGACCCCATCACTCCTCAGGAATGGTCAAGGGCTGTGTGTGGTGGTGCATGCCTGTAATCCCAGCATTTGGGAGACTGAGGCAGGATTGCTGTGAGGACTCCTGGCAGGATTTGGGCCTTCCTCAGACTCATCCCTTCAAAACTGCAGGAAGGAGCCAATCTGGGAGAACCAGGCCCAGGTATAAACCCAAGAAATCCTTTCTGAATCCCTTCACTGCACAGGACCCCCAAAGTGAGCTATGGGATTGTAGGAACTCCAGCATCTGGACAAATAAGGCACTGCCTTTGCCTGCTAGCATATAGGGGCTGATGTAACTTGATGGTGCACAAAGCCCTGGACTTGATCCCTGGCACCAGTGCATACATATGTCAGGTATGGTTACCACTTTCTGTGAAAGTTTATGTTCTGAAGTTGGTGGTATGAAAATTAGCCACCCCATTTTGCAGATGGGAAAGTGGAGACCATTTCCTACCATACCAAGGGGACTCCAGAGTCCTAGAGTCTAAAGGATACTTGCCCTGTCTTCAGCCCCTGAAGGGCACATGGGTAGGGTATGGCTTTGAGGAGGTAGGGGCTGGGCCTCTGCTCAAGGAGGGCCTCCAGAGGGCCCTCAACTGAGTAAACTGATAGCAAAATGAATTTTGGACCCAGGTGTAGTGGTGTAGCCTGTAATCCCAGCATGTAGGGAGGCCGAGGCAGGAGGATGGAAATAGAACACCCCAGGCACCAAAAAATCACATTGGGCTAGGGGTATAGATTAGTGGTAGGACATTTACCTAAAATGCAAGAGGCCCGCTGACCAGCACTGGACAACAAAACTCCCTAACCTTTGAGTAAGGAGACTTGACCTACACCTTTGAGAAGGGGACCTAGGGGAGGAGACAGGGTGAGCCCTGGGCACCATCATGCTGAGACCTGCCTGAGAGCTCAAGAGTTGGGAGGCCACCCTCAAAGGCAGTGGTGCTCAAGGAGACTCACTTGCCCGGCTGGGCTGCACAGCAGACAAGCAGCAGGCACTGAACCCCAGGACTCCCTTCCTCCACCTCCAACAGGACTGGGATTGGCTCACCTTGCTGTCATTGTCCTCCCACTGTCTAAGGCCACAGGGGAGGAGGGAGCATGGGAGTGGATGCAATGCCCAGGCCTCCAGCCAGATGCGATGTTTGGGGCCACATTTGTTCCCATCGTAAACCACTATCAATCATAGCTGTAGTCAAGGGATACTCAGTATGCTGCAGACACTTTTATTACTTTTTTGGTTTTGGAGACAAGGTCTTGCTATATAGTTTAGGATGACCTTGAACTCTGTAGCCCAGGTTGGCCTTGAACTTGCTGCAGTCCTTCTGTCTCAGCCTCCTGAGTGCTAGGAGTACAGGTGTGTGCCAAAACACCGGGCTCTACATAGTCTCCTTGGCCCCCCAGGAGGGCATTCAGCTTGTTTTGCTGGAGAAAAGTGGTGGGAAGTGGAAAGGCATTTGGTGCAGCCAGGAGACAAAGTCCCCCCCACACACAAAAGAAGCTGGGGGCTGGCAGCACTCAGCCAAGGGAAGAGGAGCCATCAGAACCTCTTGGATCCACTCAGGCCAGGGCCCTGTGCCCCTGGAACCGTCAGGGTGGGGGAGAGGTGCCTCACTCTTCTGCCTCAAGGAGGGAAGCTGTATCTCTTCCAGGATGGTCTTAAAGGGAAGTGGATCAGGCAGCCAAGCGGTTTAAATCCTGGGCTGTCAGCCAGTTTTGAAGCTTGTTTTGCTGGGTGGGGTGGGGCAGGAATTCCAGCCAGCAAGGAGGCTGGGAGCAGCCACGTGCTGCCGGCTCACGCGGTGAAGAGCTGTGTGGAGCTGGGCACCAGAGCAGGGAGCTGACCCAGGCCCACCCAGCCCAGGCAGCAGCTACATGGGGTGCAGGGGTCAGGGACGGGGCAGAACTTTCATCCTTGTCATCGACCGAACTGTTCACCCAGTACCCTTTGCAATAACAGTGTTTGAAAATAATGTATCTTATAGTCCCAGCTACTGAGAAGGCTGAGACAGCATGTCTGCATGCTTGAGCCCAGCCTGGTCAACTTAGTGACTTGGTGAGACCCTGTCTCAAAATGAAAAAAAAAAAAAATTAAAAAGGCTGGAGATATAGCTCAGTGCAAGTGGGGAAAAAAGAGTAAAAAATTTCTTAAATGGGGGAATACTCAGCATTTCATTGAAGGCACACATCATCAGCTTGGGATGTGGACCTGCAGAACCACCCTTGGCTTAAAGGAGGGGATACTTCTAGCATCTCAGGGGCCCCTGGTGTCCTTTGCTATCTCCCCTACTCTAGAGGAAACCACTATTCTAACCTCCATTGCAATAGTGTGGTTTTGAGAAGTTCACAAACTTCTCAGAAATGAAATCACACCGTTAGTACTCTTCCTGTCCAGCTTTTTTCACTCGGTCTGATATTCATTGAGCTGTCTCACTTAGCTAGAGTTTGTTCTTTTTCATAGCTGAGTAGTAGTCCACAGTATGTATATATCCTTTGAATTATTCATGCTATTATTTTTTTTTAAATTAAAATTAATTAATGTTTTTGGTGCTGGGGATTGAACCCAGGGACTCACACATGCCAGGCAAGTGCTCCACCACTGAGCTATATGCCCAGCCCTCTTCTATTTTTAATTGTTTTTCAGTACTGGGGATTGAATCCAGGGGTATTCTATCACTAAACTACATCCTTGGGATTTTGTTATTTTTTATTTTGAGACAGTCTCATTAAGTTGCCCCCACTGGCCTTGAACTTGTGCCCCTCCTAGCTCAGCCTCCCAACAAGCTAGGATTACAGATGTGCACCGATGTACCTGGTTTTTGTTTTGCTTTTTGACTTTAAATTAAAAATATGAAGATATAGCTAGGCTCGGGTGGTGCAGACATGTGGTCCTAGCTACTCAGGAGGGTGAAGTAAGAAGATTGCTTGATCTGAGTGGCTCAAGGCCAGTGAGATTCTGACTCAAACAAGAGGAGGAAGAGAGTAAAGGCACGCACAAATACACACTCATTCCCGTCTCTTGCCATGGAACAAATGCCCTGTGCTGTCTCAGGACCTCATCAACAAGGCCGTTACCAGATGTGGCCCTTGACCTTGGACCAGAGCCATGAGCCAAAATAAACCTCTTTTAAAAAATTAAAGTATAGGGCCGGGAAGTTAGCTTAGTGGTTTGGCTGCCTGCTGTGCAAGTGCAAGGACCCGAGTTCAGTCCCTGGTACAAAAAAATAAAATAAAATAAAGTACAATTTATGTACAGTAAAATTCACCCCTTTGAGTATACATACATAGCTTTGTGAGTTTTGACAAGTGTGTACAGCTCTGCAACTGCCACCACTACTGAGATACAGAACTCACGAATCCTACCCTGGATAGGTTGCCCAGGGCCATGGCAAAGTCTGCTGAGCCATTACCTGGGAGCGAAGCCCGAGGCTCAGGAATTCCCACCTTGCTCTCCAGGTTCACATCCACTCATCTTCACACCAGCAGCACCTGAGAGCTGCCACACTCTCGTCCCAACCGGTAAATCATTTCTCTCTTACCAGGTGGTATGATTTTGGGGTACAGCAAACACAATTATATAGCAAACATGGTTTCTAAGTTGAGGGTGATGGTGTGTTCCTGTAATCCCAGCACTCTGAGAGGCTGAGGCAGGAGGATCACAAGTTTGAACTCAGCCTGGGCAACTTGGCTAATTAGTGAGACTTTCAAAATAAAAAGACAAAAAGGGCTGGGAATGAGGCTCAGTGCAAGGGCCCTGGGTTCAGTGTCCAGTATCACACATAGGAAGGGAGGGAGGAAAAGAAGAAAGGAGGAAGGAAAACATCTGATTTTTAAAGACTCCCTGCCTGGAACTGAACATAGGCACCTACTTTGCACAGGCAATAGAACTGTTGGTGATGCAGAAAGCAGCCGAGACCGGGAGGCCCATGGGCACCCGGAATCTGGAAAGAATCAGGAGGGGACAGTGGAGTCATGATGAAGTGGCTGGTTTGCAGCTGTGAAAATCATGCCTGGAGAGACTGACGGAGTGAGATTCCTCTGTCTGTGGTTCAAAGGAGATGGCTGTGGGACGGAAGGTAAGAAGAATTCCCACCCTCCCCATGCAGGAGTCTGTGTGACCGCCGAAAAGCTGGGGAACGGTGGCTCGGCCCCACCCAGTGACACTGGCATGCATGCCCCGGTGTGGAAGTGACCACAGCTGCCAGGCTCTGAGTCAGCGGGCCTGGGGCAGCAGAAGAGAAGGAGCCTCTCGTGCTCACGTGGCTGGGCCGGCGCTGCCTCGTGCATTCTCCTGTCTCTCAGCCTGCAGGAAGCATAGATGTTTGAAAGGACGAATCACACATGGCCTTGTCCTGGAGCCCGGCCAGGACCACTTCCTCAAAGGGAGGTCTGCGGAGGGGGTTCCTGGGTGGGACTCGGAGTTCTGGGGAAGGGGCATCTAGCCCTGGGGTGGGGTCTGGGGAGGCTGATAGCCTTCCAGAGATCTGGGGGAGCAGAGGCAGAAACAGCTCCCGGTGAGGGTAAGGAGGAAGAAGAACAAGGGGAATAGAAGGGGCAG